ACCGATGAGATTTTGCAAATTTTATGCGTTTTTTTTAAAAAAAAGGTATCAAGCTCTTAAAAAATCACCCGTTACTTGCAAATATCGGCCGTTGCGTCACGAAAAAAAACTACCGCTTCTGGATCTGAGTAATCAGTGTCGTGTTAGCTTTTGTTATTGTCACTTTAATAAAAACTACTAATTGATGAATTGCAAAAAAAGAAATAAGTTAAAAGTTACGTTAATATTAAACGAAATTACACAACTTTTAATTTTTGGAATAATAAAATTAAAAAATTACAGTACAAAAATAAATAATACAATGAATTATTAGATTCATAAAAAAACTTGCCTTGAAAAAACTCAGATGCACTAAATATCAAGAGATTTATTTTTAAATTTCTGTTGGTAATTAGTGAAAATATTGCGAAATTTCATGTTTCTAGCTGCATATATGGAGAAGTTATAACAAAGAATCTCGAATCTGAACAATCAGTTGTATGGAGGCTATAGGTTATAGCGACCCGATCTTCGCCATTTTCACTGAAAGTATTCTTTTGATAATGAGTGACAACAGTGCCAAATTTCCGTGTTCCTAGCTACTTAGATGGAGGAGTTATAACGAAAAATCTCATATCTGAACAATCAGTTGTATGGGAGCTATATGTTATAGTGGTCCGATTCTTCCGGTTCCGACAAATGATTAATACAATATAAAAATACACCCACCTACCAAATTTCATCCGGATATCTCGAAAACTGAGAGACTAGATTGCATACAAACAGACGGACAGACAGACAGACAGACAGACGGACAGACAGACATGGCTAAATCGACGCAGATCGACGTTCTGATCATTTAAGTATACATTTTAATGGGCCTATCTCTTCTTATTCTGGTACTTACAAACATCGGACCAAAGTTATAATACCATTTCATGCATGAAAGGTATACAAATACATTGCATGCACCGTTACGGTTATATATATTTGATCCGAAAAAAAAAACAACTTTTAGCGACTAAATTATGATTTTCATTATAAAGATCATAACCAAGTGGTCGAAAAATAATTATTTAAGGCAAGGA